CTGGTCCCCACAATCACAGAGAGCATCCTGAAGACCCTGCTCACTGCTACCTCTCCTACAAAGCCAGCCCCAGTCGGGCCTCTGTAGCCCTCCTCAGAATGTGTTTCTCCACTTCCAGCAGTGAGGAATGACACACAGGTTGCCCCCAGCAGGACAAGGGTGCCTGGGGGTCAGGAGCAGGCCTTAGTGGCAGACGCTGGTGCTCCCTGTAAACATCAGGGCCAAGGGGAGTGGCCAGGGCCTCTGTAGCAAGGGTGGAGCTCAGGCAGCATTTCTGGGACCAGAAAGCCAGCCGTCCCCATCCCCAGGCTGGGCCAGCTCACTGGTGGGCCCACTGTCAGCCGCTGCTGGAAAAGAATCCCTCCCAGCCTCTGCTGCTGAGAGAAACCAGAGGGAGGCGGGGCTGGGCCTCAGAAACAAAGGTGTTTCCATGGTTACCCTTGAAGAAACCAACTGCAGCAGGAGAGGGAAGGGTATGGAGGGCATGCTGGCCCCCAAGCCCGGACACGGACAAGGCCAGTTGCCAGGGAGATGCTTGCAGCTTCCCTTGTAGGCCTGGCCCTGACCCATCAGAATCCTGGAAAACCACCACCCCACCCTCCACGACCCTCACCCTGAGTAGTCCCTAAGGCTCTGACCCTCATTCAAAGGACAGGCCATAGCCCAGCCAGTGTGGTTCAGTGGTTGAGCATCAACCTATGAACTAGGAGGTCACAATTCAATTCCTAGTCAGGGTATATGCCAGGGTTGTGGGCTCAATCCCCAGTGTGGGGCATGCAGGAGGCAGCCAATCATTGATTCTCTGTCATCATTGATGTTTCTATCTCTCTCCCTTTCCCTTCCTCCCTGAAATCAATAAAAGTGTATTTTTTTTAAAAAAGAGAAAAAGGACCAGCCCTAGAGAGGCTCAATCTATCAGCCCAACCCTTGGCCATGAACTTGGAGGTGAGTGAGCTGGGGCCAGAGGAGAAGTTGGGGTCCAGTGAGCCTCCAGTCTGGCCATGGATCACCCCACGCTACTCCCTTTAAACAGAAGCAATATGCTGAGTTCCCAACTGCTGCTGCCTCCTCCTGGCCCTGAGGCAAGGATTGGGTGGGAACCCTCCCTCAGTTGGAGGCTGGAGGGAAGGTGCCTTGGAACCAACTCAGGGACATTTTCATAATCTTTGCTAGATGAAGAGGCCAGTTCCAGAGGCAAGATTCTGCAGGAATGGGACGAAGGACAGGAGCAGGAAAGGAGACAGAGGTCTGGGCCGTGCAGTAATGACATGACAGTGACAGCTGACATTATCCAGGCCTGTGATTTATATGCCTCATCCAGTTTCATGTTTGCAACAGCCGACCGAGTAGACACTGTGTCACATTCCCACCTTTCAGATGAGCAGACGACTGGCCTGCTCTGCGGAAGCAGCCCGTACACGTCCCAGACCAGGATCTGCGCCTGAACAAGATGCCCAGGTGGTCCTGGGTGGCTGAGACCTTAGGGGCCTCATGGGTCATGATATCAACCGACTGATGACCTGCCACATGCCGGGAGCCGGTCCATCCTTGCTGTTTCAAGGGACCTGGCATACATGGCATACTGTTCTTAATATGTTTGCTCACCTTCTTGGCACTATGTGTTTTAACCAAGGTCACCTCTCCAAGAAAGGTTGTTTCCCCAGGTAGAGATTTTCTCCTGAAGTTAGGGAGGGAATAAAACCTCTTAACTAAGTGCCAGGCGGGTAATTAATCACTTTAACTATGAACAATCATGCTTATTGGAGAACCTAGACAGAACCTGGCTGAAGAACCCGGCTACAGAACCTGGCGACTGAACCTGGCTGGAAAACCTAAACCGAACCTGGCTGGAGAACCTAGCGAGAGAACATGGCTACAGAACCTGGCTGGAGAACCTGGAAAACGTGGCTGGAGAACCTAGCAAGAGAACATGGACACAGAACTTGGCTGGAGATTGTGGCTAGAGATCCTGGCAAGGCTGCTGATCAACTGAACGCTGTCTCCGTGTCATTCCTTCCTCGCCGACTCCATCCACACCTTTGGGGACCCCTGGACCTGCTGGGGCAGGACCCCAGCATCACATAGTGGGGGATCATCACGGTGCCCCCTTTCATCCTGACCATTGAGCCTGGCTCAGGTCCCAGAGTCCTCTCAGGACCCCAGGGATCCATCCGTATGTGGTCCCCAGAGCTTGAGACATGCTGGTCTAATCATTTTGTGGTGACTACTCCCATCAGAACTACTCTCAGACCAGGCCAGTCCCAAGAGAGAACCCCACAGTCCTGCCCGTCTGTGACTCCCTAGGCAGGGATGATTGGAGCCTCCCTATCACAATTCCTTCTGCGTCAGAATCAGGGACTATCATGGACCAGGACCCTGCGGAAGGCAGCCAGCGGACCCTGCGGGCTGAGGCCTGGCTGCTGGGGTCAGAGGCGCCAGCCACATGGAAACGCATGCGGGGCTTTGCCCCGAGAAAGCACGTTCACAGGCATCATCCTCGAGGAGGCTGAGCAGAGGCAATTGCTCCCCACTTTGGATGGGGAAACTGAGGCTCAGAGCATGGAGCAGCCTGCTCAGGGCCATACGGCAGAGCAAGTCAGCAATGCCAGCCCTGCCCCTCACCCGCTGCCCTTTCCCCAACTCCACTCCTACCTTCTCAGCAGGTTTCTGAGCCTGAGCTGATGTCTTATCTCTGTCTGCGGCCAGAGCTGCCTCCTGCGCTCCAGCAGGGCTAGGCATCCAAGAATGCTGGGGCCCAGCATTGCTGACCGGCCTTTGCCCCGGGAGCCTGGCCTGCGGCTCGCTTCTCTCCCTGCCACCCCCACTGCCTTCTGTGGATTGCTGGGGAGTCTGCTACCCGGTGCAGCACGGGCAGTGGCCACTGCCGCCTGGCCCTGCCCCTCACGTGGCCCAAGCTGGTCCTTCCCACACAACTTTCTAATCTGTGCAACGTGACCGTGCTTGGCGCCCTGTGGTCGGAAGAGAGTATTTTTAGTGTTGAACCCACCACCTGAAGAGAGACAACTTATCAATAGCAGCCTCAAAGGGCTTTTTCTTTTTTTCCCCATGGCTTCGGGACCTGAGCAATCTGCGCCCATTAAATTCTGCCAACTTTTTAAAAAATAAATCTGTATTGATTTCAGAGAGGGAGAGAGAGGGAGAGAGAGATAGGAACACCAATAATGAGAGAGAGCCCGGCTGGCATGGCTCAGCAGTTCAGCGTGGACCTATGAGCCAGGAGGTCACAGTCAGGGCACATGCCTGGGTTGTGGGCTTGATCCCCAGTAGGGGGCATGCAGGAGGCAGCCGATCAGTGACCCTCTCTCATCATTGATGTTTCTTTCTCTCCCTCTCCCTTCCTCTCTGAAATTAATTTAAAAATTAAAAATTGGGAAACTTTTCTATGAAATGTTTTGTAGGATGTTGGAGTGGCCATCCACCCTGCTGGGGGGACATTTGAGCCAACTTGACTGCCTGCCCTTTAGAATTAGTTAGAGCTACAGGCAGGTAAGTTACCAGGCATCATCAGGGACCCGGTTTCTATGTTATTGTACCACCCTTCTAGTGTTGGGTCCCATTCTCATTGTCACCTCATGGCCCAATATGGCTGCTTGTGCTCCAGCCATCACGTGTGCATTTGACCAGGAAGAAAGAGACGAGGAAAGAAGAAGGACTGGGCTGACCACTAGGTGAGTCAGCTCCCTGGTGTACCTGTCCCTGAAGATACACCCAGCACTTCTGCTGACATCTCCCTGGCGAGACCTTCATCCCACGCTGTTACTGGTGCAACAGCAGCATTTTGCCGAGTGCACTGCCAGCCTGAATACCACAGAGGACTCAGGGGAGAGGATCATGGGAGGCTACTTGTCAGAGGACCTGTGCGGACCCCTGAGCCTATGGCTAGGCCTGCCTTTGGCCTCCAGGTGTCCTCCAGCTTTGGCAGGGCAGGCCCAGAGTTGGACACCTCTCAAGATGTGGGTTCACCACCACTGCCTGGAAAGTGGGGCGGTGCCAGGTGCAGGGCAGAACTCTCAGCTCTCAGTCCCTGACACCCTTGCCACACAGACTGGGCCCTACTGCGCTCCAGCAGCCTGTGGGGTGGAGCCTCCGCACGGTTCCGACTGCTGAAGCACTCGTGGCTGTGCCCTGAGCACCGTTTCCTCTCGAAGTGCCTGCTGAGCACCTGCTGCCCTGCTGGTCCTGCGTGGGGCAGGTGTGCGCCCCCGTGAGCAAACTCAGACCCAGGGGCCACAGGGCAAGGAGGGGGCTCTGCTCTTCTCTCTCCACCCTTCCCAGGGGTTCTGGTGGTTGTAGGCACATCCGAGCAGGGACCAGTGAGGCAGGAGGGAGCAGGAAGGTTTTAACTTTCCAGATGGGGCTAGGCCCGGTGCAGGGGTGGAGTGGGGTGAAGGGGGGTTTAAACATACCTGGGGCATGGGGGTGGGGAGAGCAGTGTGATCCACTACTCTCAGCCACTTACTGGCCACACACACTCATACAACAAGAAAACACAAGAAACAAGCTGTCCTTCCTGGCAGGCCAAGGCGGGGCGGGAGCTCAGCAGGTGGAGGGGCTGGGGGGTCAGGGTGTGGCAGGGCTGGGGTACCCCAAACCAGTCCCTCCTTTAGCCTTACTGGGGCTTTGCTTAGGAGGCCGGTGGGTCTGGGAAAGCTGTTTATTTTTTTATTTTTCAAAATATATTTTTATTGGTTTCAGAGAGGGAGATAGAAACATCAGTGATGAGAGAGAATCATTGATTGGCCGCCTCTTGCATGTCCCCCACTGGGGATCGAGCCTGCAACCCAGGCACGTGCCCTTGACCGGAGTCAAATCAGGGACGCTTCAGTCTGCAGGCTGATGCTCTAGCCACTGAGCCAAACCAGCCAGGGCTGGGAAAGCTTTGTAAACAAAGCCCATCACTTTCCCCAGGGCCATGGGGAAAACTTAGGTGGCCCCACTGTGACAGTGTGGAGGGCAGGGTGGTGACTGGTGGCAGGGCCCCCACCTCCATCCCTGGCAGGAGCACCCGGGCTCTGGAGGGTGGGGTAAGAGACACCGGGCACTTGGGTCCTTCTGGGGAGAGGCATGCTCCCCCTTCCATCATTCCATCCTCGGGAGAGGAAGGCAGAGCCGGGGAGAGGGGGGACAGCCACAGTCGAGGGGACAGCCCGTCAGAGCAGTTGCCAGGCACACCCCAGACTTGCCCTCACAGTGGAGGGATAAGAGGGGGTCCAGCAGGCTGGACTGTGGGTTAGGAGTGTCAGGGCACACGGGGCTGCAACCTGGGTGGTCCCGTGGGGCTCTGTGCTCAATTGACTGCTCTGCTGTCACCATTTGAAATTCCTAACTTCGGGCCACCGGTTCTGTAGCCATCCTAAGTGAGGCGGGCTCAGTGCTGGACTCAGGGCCCCTGGGTGCTGCTCTCCAGTTGCAGGGCTTCAGAAGCTGCACCGCCAGCTGGGGCTCTGACCCTCCAGTAGGGTAGCAGGCTGGCGAGCAGGCCAGGTTGTCCTGGGGATAAGGCAAAGGGGCTGATGAAGGCCTCATGCTAAGCAGTTTGCCAGCACTGCCCCAGCCCAGGAGGGGAGTCTACCGGGGAATCCCACAGCCCGGGCTCAGGGGACCCTCAGGGCTGGATCCTCTCCAAGGTACCCCCTGAAGGCAAAGCTAACCTGGCACCTCCAATCACTCACTAGGCTCAATAACAACATAACCTTCTGGGTTCCTAGTCAAGCTGCATATAGTAGGTGCTCAATAAATGCCTGCAGGAGGTGGGTGGGATGATCTGATCTGGGCAGATGACCAAGGGTTGGATGGAGCCAGCAACCTCATGCAAGTCCAGGCTGTGCCACTTGCTAAGTGAGGTCTCAAGGAGCCTGTTTCCCCAGGGCTTGGTGAGGCCATGGAAGTCAGGCATGGAAAGCCCCTGGTAGAGGAAGCCCATATAGGATGGACTTGGGGGGCAGAGGACATGGAATTGGGCCCCCTGACAAACATCTGATGCTCTGGCCAGCATCCACCCTGTCTTCTAGGAACAACCCCAAATTCTCCAGTGGGGACCCCCGCCTCATCCAGGCTGACCTCCTGGACCTTCCAGCTCCAGACAGGGGCACATGACTGGCACCTGGCACATCACTGCATCACTTTGGAATAATCGGTCATGCCATGGGCTTGGGCACAAGGTCCTGCATCTGATCTGGGGCTGAGAACTGTGGAATGTCAGTCTGGAAGTGCCACCCTGAGGGGACAGCTGTGTGAGCGAGGAGCAGGCATGCACCAAGGGCTGAAAGACAGGCTTTGATGAGAGTTACTGGGTTCCTGGATCCAGCCATGCCTGAAGGAGATATACCATCAGTGTACTGTCAGATGTATGCCCCGTTGAACCGCGGTTTCTATGGCCTCTTCTCCACGCATGAGGAGCATAGCCACCTGTTTGGACAGGCCTCTGAACCCCTCCTCCTCCATCAGGACATCCCAGGCTAGGACCACCCTCCAGATGGCACACAAGTGAGTCACTCAAGGACAGACTCCAAGAAGCCCCGGATGTCTTCATCAGGTGGCTCTTAGCCACTGGCTTACCCAGGGCTGCACCACGCACAGATGGGAAACGGGCCTGGGGAAGAGAGGGGCCTCCCGGTGCGCCTCATTACTTGCCACAAGGGCGTTGTGATGAAGCAGCTGAGCAAGTTTAGAATATGTGAGAGGAGTGCGCAATGCCAGGAAAAGGTGGGCCCAAGCTGAGGTCTGGCAGGGTGTGGAGGAGAGGGCAGGGGCTGGGGAGAGGGTGGTGAGTCCCACTGGAGTGGCAAGCTGCCCTTTACCCAGGGCCATAGGGAGAAGGTAGGTGGCCCCTCTGGGACAGTGTGGAGGGCAGAGCTCTGGTCTGGGGCTGAGGGCTCAGACTCCATGTCCTTAGTCCACCCAGAGCTGCACTGCAGCCCCGGCCCTGGCCATTGGTTTGCCGGCTGCCGGTGAGAGGGACAAAGGCACAAAGCCACTTGGCCAGGCAGGTCCTGAGCCAACAACCAGCCTCCTAAGCAAAACCCGGCAAGGCTGAAGGAGGGGCTGCTCCAGGATACCCCGGCCCCGCCACATCCGTGACCCGCCAGCCCTTCCGCCAGCTGAGCTCCTGCCCGCCATGGCCTGGTGGCCCCACGCATCCAGGGTCTGCCAGGAGGGAAGTTGTTTCCCGTTTGGTTGCTGTATGAGTGTGTGTGGCCAGTGAGTGGCTGAGAGCCGTGCCCAGATCCAGGGGAGGGGCTGATTTGGGAGTATCACGACCTCTGGCCTGGCCCACGACCTGGTCCTACAGCCGGGCACTGTGGAGGGAGACATCTCTCTGACCTGGCCTGTCCCCACAGGGAGGAAGGAAGACAAGTACCGCTCCTGGCCCGAGTCAGAAACCCACCCACAGAGACACACACACCGACCCACAGACATGAGAACAGCCAGACACACAGCCAGACCCACATGCCACATGCACAGAAATGCACATACATAGACACACCTATAGGCAGACAGACACACATATTCATAAACAGACACACACACAGCTGGCCCTGCTCCTGGCGTCGCCCCAGGCCCCCTGCTTTCTCCCTCAAGACCTCAGGGATGTCTTCATTAGTTGGATCCCATGCCCCTGACACTGAGACAGTGGCTCATTCTTTATTTTCCTGACAGGCACAGGCTCTCCGAGGAGCTGCCCTGAATCCCAGGGTCTGGGGGAGTAACAGAGGTGAGCTGGGGCCAGGCTCTGCCTCCTGCAGGAAGCACCTCTCTGAGTGGGGCCCTCCTTCCAGCCCCTAGGCTCCCCTAAAGGCTGCCTCTAGGAGAGTAGCCCAGGGTGACCTGTGGGCTCAGGCGCTGCTCCTTTGCCCAGGGGATGGGACTGGGCACACGCCACAGGCACATTCACATGCAGGAGCATATGCGCCGTCTGGGCCCCAGCACAGAACAGCACGGGCAGGACTGCAGAGACCTGGAGTAGTCCTGAAGGTTCCGAGAGGCGAGGTGGGAAGGGGTCAGGTGGGCTGATCCTGATGGGCGAGGCTGGGGGTTACCAGTGTGTGTGCTGGGAAGAGGCGTGCAGGCTGGGCCGGGCTGGGCTTGGGCCCTGACCAGGTCAGGGTGGGGTCTGCACAGTAGATCAGGTCACCAGGCCCAGTTCACCTCATCAGCATTGTGATCAGGGCCACCCAACCTGGTCCCCGCAGGAGAGGCCCAGTGCAGGACAGGAACCCCGAAGGGAGGGCGAGGCTGCGGATGGTCTGGCTGCTCCAACTCGCTGTGATGGTGGCACTGTGGGCAGAGGGCTCAGAGCAGGTATGCACTCCGGTGGGGGCAGGACCTCCAAGGGCAGGCAGCTGGCAGCCAGCAATGGGCCCGGAGCTGGCCAAGAGTCCAGACCAAAGAATGGCTTGGCCACCACACCAACCAAGGCTGAGGGCAGGGAGCTTTGGCCTCCCCTGGGGGGTCTCCTAGCGCTCCCAGTGCCCAGGCCCAGGGCCCAGGCACCTCAGCACCACCAACAAGGATACTGTCGGGGGAAGGGCAGACAGAGGCCCTCACAGGACCCCCAGGGCAGCTGCTGGGGAGAACTATGGCTCCACCTGCCTGACAGCCTCCCCTCCAGCCACAAGGGTGGTTCAAATGACACTGACCCAGGACCTAAGACCCACACTGCTTTGCGCTTAAGTCAGCCACCAGGGTTGTGTAGGAGGGCTCACGCTGGGTGCTGCTGGCAGCTCCCCTTCTTCCTGGCGAGTGAAGGGAAAGTTAGGAGAACCGTGGAGCTGCAGGGAGAGGGCTCAGGGAGAAAGTCCTGCTGGAAATGAGGTGAACACAGGGAAAGACGGGGGAAAGAAGCAGCTGTCTCCGCCCCTGGACGCAGCTGTGCCTGAAGCCCATTTCCTGGGTGCTCCAGCTGTGGACAACGCGAGACATTCACTTCCTGAAGCCTCTTTGAGTTGTAGCCAAACCACAGCAACTGAACCCCTGGCTCTCCTGTCCTCTCTCGCCTTCCTGCCAACTGGGCCCTGGGCCCAATTCAGCCCTGACCCTCAAGGCAGGGAAATCAGACATGGCTTTTATTTCAAATCTGTGGCATCAGGAGCCATTCTGATCACAACCGAACTCTGAGCTCATCAGGATGCACCCATATCTGGCTCAGAATGTCACTAGGGAAAAAAAAGACAAGGAACAAAAAAAGAAAAATCTGCATTTCCTTATTTAAGCGAGCTGCCACGGAAGGAGAACGCAAACATTGGTTCCTGCAGAGGGGCACGGCGCTGACCCTGGAAACGTGCCTGGGCCGTACCCGCAGGACAACTGCCCGGCAGCTGGCCTCGGCCTCCCTGCCCCTCTCATTGTTTCTTATTTTGGGCCATGGCCCCCCGCACAGGGCAGAGCACTGCGGGGGCAGCTGTGGGCCCGCAGTTGGTTGGAGGAGAAAGGTTTTTCTAGCACAGTGAGAGCGTGGAGGCACAGCCTGCTGCCAGTGACAGCGCCGGACACACAGGATGTGCAGAAGCACAGGACACATGGGACAGTGTTTTCCTGGCCTGATACTGGTCACCCCAGAGCTCCCCTGGCCCCAGACCCAGAAGGAACAGGGCAGGCCGCTGCCGGCCCAGGCTCTGGTTCCAAGCCCGGGACTGAACCCTGGGGGGCCTAACAACTTCCCCGCCAGAATGTCCAATTGGCATCAAGCTCGACACACTCCTATCAGCACTCCATCATCCCTCAGCCTGCTCCACCCACAGACTCCCCGGCTCACTCCTGTCAGCGCCATCCTCTGAGATGCCTGAGCCAAAACCCTGGAGTCAGCCTTGACCTCTGTCTCCCATACCTCTCATGTCAGCTTCAGAAGACACCCATGTGCCCAGGCCAGAGTGCACCCCCTGGGGAGGGGACCGCTAACCCTGCAGAGCCCAGAGGGTGGAGGCACAATTTCCCCAGAGGGTCACTGGGAGGGGCCAGGGGCCCAGGCCCGCCTCCACCCCAGCCCCGGTGCTCAGCTGTCCTTGTTGGAGATGAGGTGCTGTGTACTTCTCGTGTTAGGCTGCACAGCAGGTGGTGCCCACCTGTGTCCTGTGAAGCAAGTGGCTCCAGGACGGTGTGTCAGGCAGTGCAACCAGTGCATTCTTGTCTGGGAAGTGGGCCCCAGGCAGTGTGGGATTCCACACCTGGATGCTGGTGCAGCCTTGCGGGCAGGGGTCAAGCCCACACCTGAGCAGGTGTGCGAGGAAGGGCCCAATGCGGTCAACTCGCCACCAGGTGGCAGTTTCTCCTCCTGGAAAACATGCCACAGGGGGGTGCGGCCTGGTTATGTGGTGGGTGGGGTGGACATTCAGAAGTGGCAGTAGCCAGATCAACCTGGGGCGGTGGGAGGCCAGGCTCCTGGTCCCAGCAGGGCCTCCAGCGTGACCTCCTCATGCCAGTTCTGGGCGGCCTGTGCCAGGGGCCTGCTAAACCATCTCTTCCTGATGGAAGCTTCCCGGGAGGGCCTTCACACTGGGGCCCACAGTCACATGTCCACCCACATGGCTCCAGCCCCAAACCCCTTGTCTCCACCAGGTCCTTGTCCCTCCCGGCCCTGACCAGTCCTCTGGGACTTTGGGCACTGCCCCTGAATGCGTAGATATTCTCACTTGGGCCACTTTTCCGTCCACACGAGGTATAAGACCAGGAGCCTCAAGTCCCACCCACGGGGAAGACGTGTCCTTTGCCTCAGCAGCAGACCCCAAAGGCCAGGCTGCCACCAGGGGTGTCAGCTCACCTCACCCCACAGGGCAGGCTCTCTCCTGAAGGGGAGCCCTGTGCTGTGCTCTCCGCCCCCGGCCTTGCTTCCTTCCTCCCAGCCAGCAGCTAGAGCCTGCACGCGCATTACTCAGGACTGCGGCTGTCACAGCCAGTGGGTGCCTGAGGCTTAGCAGTAAGAGCTCTGGATGGAGGAATGGATGGGTCACTCAATCAGCACGTGTGCTTTCTCCTGGGTGAGAAGTTGCAGGCGCTGGTTTTGCTAGTTGGCTAGGGTTGGTGTGAATGGTGCATTTTCCCAATGGCCTCCTTGTTGGACTGGACATATTTCACCCAAAATGTTGACTGTTTCAACAATGGAGAAACCAGAGCCCCAGGCTACTCCCTCTGTTTGGGGGTCTGAGTGAGTGGAAAGTCAGGGCCTGTCCTCTATCCCAGCCCTCAGCCAGCCTTTCCCAGAGTTCCCCACGATCTGGGGCCTGGATACTCACTCCTTGGGCAAGATGCCCTGTGGACAGCCACATAGGGACCTGCCCTATTCACTCTGAATCGCCTTGGCTGGGTTGGGCTGGACCTAGAGGATATTATGCCCCAAGGGTTGGTGCATTTGCTGGCCTCAGGGGCCTTGACCTCGGGAATGGCCAGGAGTGTGGCCATTAAGAGAGGGGTGCCTGGCCTTGTGTGACCTTGGTCAGTGGTGTCCAGCTCTGTACAGGGCCCACTGATCCTACCAACCTCATAGGGTACATAGGGGGCTAATAAGATCACACATGTGAGTGCCCGGAGATGGTGCTCACCAGTGGGCTACGGCCATTCTCAGACCACTGGCCAGCCCTGGCCCTTCCTCTCCTGAAGCTCTCAATTTGCAGAGGAAGACCACCCCTGAGTCTGACTGAGCCCATCCCCCACCCCGGCTGCTGTGGGGTGAGTCCACCAGGGAAATCTCCAGAATACTGGTAGCCACAGTATTGGAAGGGCCAGGGCTGGCCAGTGGTCTGAGGGCAGAGGGAGCCCAACCCCCACTCCTCAAAGTTTCTGAAGCACCGCTGGGGGCCAGTGGGAGGGGTGGTCCCTGGAGGATCCAGAAACTGCGGTGAGTATAGGAGTCCAGTCTGCAGCTGCTGCCCCAGTCTCCCAGCCCCCACCCATAGCAGGCACTGGGCTTCTGTCCTCCCCGGCCCACGGAAGTGTGGCTGCAGGAGAGTGGGAGCCCCTGCTTCCCTCCCCTTGGGCACTGCTCCACCCGCTGTCGCTGTCTGCCATGTGTGTCTGTCTAACTGCCGTTTGGAGGCCCCAGACTGACGCTGGGTGCTTTTCCCTGGTCTGTGGGTGTCTGTGTATCTGCGTGTGGGCGTGTCTGTCTGTGAGTGTCTCCAACTGAATGTGTCCTTGACCCTGTCTATCTGAACGTGCCTGGGGGGAGGGGCATTCCCGTCCTTGCCTCTTCTCCCCCAGCCCCTCCTGCAGGCGCTAACGCAGTTGCAGTTACTGGTGCCTTGATTGTGCCAGCCAGTGCAGTGACCTCTTCTGTCCATGCAGCGCTGACCACCGCAAGGTGCTGTCTTCCAGGGGGCCCGTGGGCTCCAAGCTGCTGGACACTCCCCCCTCAACCTGGGGCCCCATCGGAGCGCCTGGTGGGCAAGCTCCCCTCCTGGCAGGGCCCACTGGCTCCCCATCTTTCCTTATGTAACTCCACATCTGTCTGAGCCTTGTAGGTCACCCTGCCCGCTACGCTGGGGCCTGTCGACGGGGAGATTGAGACCCAGAGCCCCACGCAGATTGGCGGGGAGGAGGGCTGACCCTGATCGGAGCACAAGCCCTTAGAGATCCCTCCCTTTTTTTTTCTTTAAGACGTTCCTTCCCTCAGGCCCGCTGGCACCAAGGATGAAAGAGGAGGGGTCGCGCGGGTGCAGGTGTTTCCCCTACCCCTACTCCAGGTCCCCACAGGCATCCCGGCTCCCGACGAGGGCCGGCCAGGGTTCACGGGGCTGAGGGTAGGGGGCAGGCTAGCGGCCCAGGGCCTGGCT